AAATAGATATAAACGGGAATTTGCATGACATGGCGATGTAAAAATAACCACAACCATTTATTTTTGGAAAATGAAAATATTTTTGTTTTTAAATCAATTTGCAAAATCATTTCAAGCCAGCGCAGCAAAGAAAAAAAAACGACTCATCACAAAGTTTTACCCTTTGATTTTGATCTCATCCTTCCCCAAAAATTCAGTTTACTAAAGTTGAGAAATAGGATGTTTAGAATATTCGTGGTGATTCGTATCGTAACTGAACTGAACTGAACTGAATATTCTTTACAAATTAATTATTATATATGTTAATTAATTAAATTACATTCAATTTTTCAATCGTATTTCCTTTTATATACAACGGTGTTAGTTTTGCAACCAATCAATAGGTATGTTAATGATCTGGTCTTAGGTATCAAAGACTGTTTGAATTTTTTAAAAATAAAAGCATTTAATTTGTTAAATATTATTTTATTATCATAATTAAAAAAAAGAATATATACAGACAAAATTCATTGCCTCAATAAATGACAGAGTTTCTACTCGTAATACAAATTCTTATTCGGATTATTCGTAATGCAGCTCAATCTAATTCGAATTATTTGATTTACGTCATTTTATTCGTTTATTCAAATCACTCGTTTTAATTGTTTTATCAGTTATTCAAATTAATCGTTTTATTCAAATTATTTGAATTACTTGTTTTATTTTGTTTTAATTCGAATTATTCGTTTTATCGAATTATTCATTTCATTGTTTGATTCGAATTATTTGTTATGTTATTTTATTCGTTTAAACTTTCAATATAATTTGAATACTCAAACTCATAATAACAAGAATTTGGTCTAATGTACAGGTATAGAATTTGTCTATGAATACAAGAATGACAAGAATGTGGTACTTGGCAATGTTCAAAGTGCTCAAGATGCTATTACAAGGACACAGTCAGTCAATCAAAATTTTATTTCATGAAAGAAATGTATACAGTATTTTTATTTACGGAATATGAATTATGATTAACTAACTATTGGCTTTTTTAGCAAAGCATGCATATTTTTCATATAAGAATACTTGAAAAAATATGGATCTTCACAATTTCAATTGAACTTTTGAAATAAGTATATTTTGTTATATGTGTATTCAAACTACAATGAAACATAGGTGCCTGTCCCATTTTTTAAACAGGGTACTTCAATGTCAAAGAAAGTAATGAAGATTGCCCAAGGAAATTAAGATTTGTTGGATATAAAAACATTTTAATTCGTGATCTACGTAGTAAAATTCCGGGATAAATCAATTAGTGTGCAGAAATAGCACAATATTTTATATGTAGATTCGTACTTTAAAATTTACTAATACTAAATAAAACCCGAGTTTCCGGATACCTTTCTAATTTAAATTTATAAAAGTATATATATATAGCTCCAAAATTTCAAATTACATAAATCCAAAATTGTTTTCAAAACAAATATGATTGGCTAAAACCACGCTGATCTTTCATTGGTGGATCGCGAATTAAACCGAATTCAATGTTACAAAAAAACCCTCGGTTTAGTAGATAAATTTTAATGTAAAGATAATAAAAAAACATGTATATTTGTTTTATCAAGGCATCGTCTGTATAATGGTCCAAATATGACAAAATGATTTATTTTTTTGTATGAAACAAATGTTCTAGCCAAAGATTTTTAAAATTATACAAATAGTAGTAAATTTATCAAATAATAATATTTCATATTTTTATTTTCTAGGAATAAGTTTCACCTTTAGTTCATCACAATGTCTTGTTAACCCAAAATGAGTTTTCAAAGATGCTGAATAATCAATCAATTCAACATTAAATCTTCCAAATAATAAAACCATAAAAATTTTAAGTTGTGCCATTGCTAAATTTCGACCTGGGCACATTCTTACTCCACCTCCAAATGGTTGAAGAGTATTCTTTTGGATTTTATCATCATTTTTATTGTTGTTTGTTGATAAAAATCTTTCTGGATTAAATTTTTCAGGTTCTTTCCAATATGATTTATCCATATGAATTCCTTGAGCATTTATGAATAAAGTTGTTGAACCTTCAAATTTATGACCATCTATTTCATCAGCATGTTCTGCCATTCTAAAATTCACTGGCACTATTGGCATATGACGGAAAACTATTTTGCAAAATAATATATTTAATTAATATTAATATAATGTGAATTTTTTTGATTAATTGAAAAGTAAATTTTGTTTTTTAACCTTCTTTAATTACAGCTTCACAATAATGTAATTTATGCAAATCTTCAATTTCAATGTCTGAATTTAAATCAATGGCCTTTTGAATTTCTTCAATAACATGTTGTTTTACTTCAGGGTTGTGACAAACATAGTAAATAATGAAACAAGTTCCATTTGCAATCTAAAAATTTGAAAATTTAATTATTATTATAATCCAATAACTCAATAATCAATCATTCAATACCACCACCACCACCACAAACCTTATCACCCAAAATAGCTTCCATAATACTTTCACATATGTCTTCATCAGTCATTGGTTCAAGAGGTTGTTGATTATCACCTTGAGATTTATCACGTGGTGTATTAAATGTTAACATCAAGGTCAACATATCAGGAGTCAATTCTTGATCAATTGGTGTTTTTTCAATTTCATTTCTACGTTCTTTAATCAAATTTGCCAGGTAATGTTTCCTTGTCCAATCAAAGCTGTGAAGGATTTTTTTGGAAGAACTATTATAACCTGGCAAAACATGTAAAAACATAGGTGTCATCATAAAAAATTCCATTCCATTAAGCATAGTTCTGATATGATAAATTAGGGTTTCTGTTTCAGAATTTTTATCAGGTGCACACAAAACTTTATGATAATTATTTAGAGTGTCAGATTTTTTATTTGTTGTTGTCAATATAATAACCTCAGCAAAAAATCTTAGAACCCAATCCAACATATTGATTTCACCATCCCGTTGATCCAAATCCTTCCAATATTCTTCCATTTCCAAAAATAATGATTGAGTGACCTTGATATTTCGTCTGATAAAACTTGGTGTTAAGACAGCTTTTGTGAAAAGAATTCGATTATAACTCCATTTATTGTAGTTATCATTGAATATTAAACCTTTAGAAGTCAATAACCTGGCAAAACATGTAAAAACATAGGTGTCATCATAAAAAATTCCATTCCATTAAGCATAGTTCTGATATGATAAATTAGGGTTTCTGTTTCAGAATTTTTATCAGGTGCACACAAAACTTTATGATAATTATTTAGAGTGTCAGATTTTTTATTTGTTGTTGTCAATATAATAACCTCAGCAAAAAATCTTAGAACCCAATCCAACATATTGATTTCACCATCCCGTTGATCCAAATCCTTCCAATATTCTTCCATTTCCAAAAATAATGATTGAGTGACCTTGATATTTCGTCTGATAAAACTTGGTGTTAAGACAGCTTTTGTGAAAAGAATTCGATTATAACTCCATTTATTGTAGTTATCATTGAATATTAAACCTTTAGAAGTCATGTCCAATGCATCTAATCCTTTGTTTGGAGTTGTACGCTTATTATAATTACCAAATGAAGGTTTAAAGATTTTCTCAAGATATTCAGCTCTACCTAACCAAATAGCTCTTTCTTCACCAATCCATATTTCACCAATATCACCATATTTTGATTGGAGACTGCTTATCCAAGCTGCCAAATCACTATATGAAGTTAAATTACCAATTAATGGTAATGGTAAAGGACCTGGTAATTTGTTTGGACGTTTAAAATATTTCACATAAAAATTTATCACATAACCAATGACAAGTAATAAACTTAAGGAAATAAAATCTTGAAATGAAAAGGTTGACATGATTCAAATTTAATAAATTTTTTTTTTTAATCGGGGTTTTTTTTTAATAAAAGAAAAACCAAAATATATATATATATATATATTCTAAATTCGCGCGTGGAGTTCAAATTAACCAATCAAAATTTTGTATCCCATAGCCTTGATTTAAAGGGTTAGGTCTATTATTATTATTATATCAATTCTTTCGCTTTTTTTAGACCAAAACGTTAATATTTTTTTCATTGTATAAATGATATAATTGTTTTAAGCTAAGAAAGCTTAATTCATTAATGTAATAAGAGGAGGCTGTGAGTTCATGTGATCATCACACAAGTATTAATGTTTTTATTTCTGAAATGATATATCCGACTACAAGATGGTCATTTTAATAATCGGACATATGCAGTTCAAAATTTTATTGACCAAACCTGGACTGGCGCATTAAGTAAACATGTTTGTTAAAGTTAATTTGTATATACCAAGTTGTTAGCTTTGTAACCAATCAATAGGGATGTTAATGATCTGGTTTTAGGTATCAAAGACTGTTTGAATTTTTTAAACATAAAAGCATTTAATTTGTTAAATATTATTTTATTATCATAATTAAATTCAAATTATTTAAAAAAGAAATATATACATAACAGACAATTCATTGTCTCAATGAATGACAGAGTTTTTATTCGTAATACAAATTCTTATTCGGATTATTCGTAACACTCAATCTTAATTCGAATTATTTGTTTACGTCATTTTATTTGTTTATTCAAATCACTCGTTTTAATCGTTTTATCAATTATTCCAAATTAGTCGTTTTATTTGAATTGTTTGAATTATTTGTTTTTATTCGTTTTATTCGAATTATTTGAATCATTCGTTTATTCGTTACATTCGTTTTATTCGTTACATTGAATTATTCGAATTATTCTTTTATCAAATTATTCGTTTATTCATTTATTCGTTTCATTTGTTTGATTCGAATTATTCGAATTATTTGTTATATTATTTTACTCAAATTATTCGTTTATTCGTTTTATTCGAATAAGCTTTCAATGTAATTTTGAATACTCAAATTCATAATAACAACGAATTTGGTTGAATGTACAGATATAGATTTTGTTTATGAATACAAGAATGACAATAATGTGGTACTTGACAATGATCAAAGTGCTCAAGATGCTATTACAGTCGGTCAATCAAAATTTTATCTCATGAAGGAAATGTATACTGGTCATGTGACATATCCCTGAGGCTATATGTGAAAATAAATTCGAAATTCGTGTCACATGAAGTTTTTTTTTAAAATATCTCGTTATTTTTATAATAAAGTCGAACTTTGTTGTTAGAGTAAAATGAAAATACTCCATTAAAGCTTTCTAATGAATACTCTTTCATATCGAAAGGTCTCTCTACATGAATTCACGGCTATTCAAAAACGGTATTACTTTTTCACTTCAAAGCTCAAATTATTTCTCAATATCGCTTTAAAAGACTTGATAGTAAATAAGAAGGTGTATAATACATTAAGATTTCATATTGTCATTACTTCATGTGGGTATTGGTTAGTAAGTTTTAGAGAGGTTCATGAAAAGCTATTTTATAGAAATTTTAATAGTCATGAAGAATTTTATGTAGATGGGATTCAGCAAAAACTAAAAGGTATTTTATTAGTGATTGTTTTATATTTCTGACTTTGTATTGATTAAAGTTTTGTTAATGATTATTATGTGAATATCCATCAATCAGTAGTTGTTATAACAACATTAAACGATAATATTAGTAGTAACAAGTAGCAAACGACGACAACAAATCATCTTTTTTGAGGATGATAATAAAGATTAAGATCCATTTTGTGCAGGAATGATCGAAGTAAGCATTAAAGACAAGATCTGCGAACAGATCATACTAATGAACGTTTTATCAATTATTCAATAGTTTGTGTAGGAGTGATCGAAGTAAACATTAAGGGTAAGATCTATGAACAGATCATATTAACAAACGTTTTATCAATAGTTTGTATAGCATTGATCGAAGCAAGCGTTAAGGACAAGATCTATGAACAAACCATACTAACGAACGTTTTATCAATTACACAGTGTATCTCGATTTAGCGGGTTTAAGGGTTTAACGGATAAAATTTCAAAACTCAATCCATTTATAATTGTTTTGTCTTGATTTAACGGATTTAACGGATTTTTCATATATATTCGATTTAGCGGGATTTTTTTTTTAAAATCTATATGTTCGACCATAATAAAAATATTTCGATACAACGAATAATGTCGATCATTAACTAATACAGGCACAAAACGTAATAGTAATTAATGATGAAATGTAAATTTTTTGATAGATTTGTAATAAATTAGGAGGATTATTTGTCGTATGTATTATATTTTTTTAATCATATTATTCATTTTATTGTAGCAAATAAATATTAATATTATTGTACAACGTATCACGTGAGTGTTTCATCATATCTTGGTTTTGCGGATATCTCGATTTAGCGGATAATTTTTTTGGAACGAACATATCTGCTAAATCGAGATACACTGTGTATTCAATAGTTGTATGGGAGTGATCGAAGTAAACGTTAAGGACAAGATTTTGAACAAAACAAATTAATGAATGTTTTATCAATTATTCAATAGTTTGTGTAGGAGTGATCGAAATAAGCGTTAAGGACAAGATCTATGAACAAAACATACTAATGAACGTTTTATCAATTATTCAATATTTTGTATAGGAGTGATCGAAGTAAGCATTAAGGGCAAGACATATGAAGCTTGCAAAGCAAGTTTTACAAAAATGAATGTTTTATCAATCATTCGATAGTTGTGTTTATTATTTATGTATGTATATAAATTTCTCTTTTATTTTAATCATTATTTTTGCTTGTTTATTATTCTAATCATTATTTATGTAGAAAAATTTTAAAATCTATTTATTTATTATTTACTTTTAAAATAAATGATTTTACTATAAAAAACATACCTAAGCGATCAAATATTCATAATAATGTAATATTTGGACACTTATACCTGCAATTGGACGCGTCAAACAAAATTTTACGCATATGAATATAAAGGCAAAATTTGACTTTGAGGGTCAGATTATTTTCGGTTTTATTAACAACCTGCCTTAAAAATTTTCTTAAAACAGATACATATGATGAAGAAATCATATCTCAAATTTGGTGGTGGTTGTTACACGGCAAGGGTATCAAATGAGGGTGTGAAGACATTTGATTATAAAATTTTACTATGGTTCAGATCAAATTTACTATAGCATTTACTTTGGATAACCAATCATTTCCTAGGATAGCATTAAAAGTGTTTGTTTCTGTTACAATTGCTGATAATGGAATTGTTATTCCTCCAATGGTTAGTGGTAAGTCATCTACTTCTCACAAAGGTGAAGTTTTCTGTCCATTCACATTGATGATTACAACAGATGACTTTCGCGTAATTTTTACTCCTAGTTTATCAACAATCCTTTAGAAACTATACTTCCTGCTGCTCCGCTATTTATAATTATAGGAAAGCTTCTTCCATTGGTACTTGCTTTGCAGTACATTGCGGTTGATCTTGTGTCTGCATTTAATTGTTCAGTCTGAGGTGTCTTCTTGGTTCTTCTTGTTTGAGGGGTTCGTAAACTCCTAGACAATTCCGATCTCAATTTTGGTACTGCTTGGAATAATTGCCCGAAGATAATATCAGCCTTCTGCTTCTTGATGTTGGTTACTACTGAGCATAGTTGTATCAAATTCGAAATTGGAGATTGCACTGTATTTCCCTTTTTTCTTGAAGATTCTTTTACATATGTATCAAAATTTCCTTCATTGTTAATATTAATGTTGTTATTGTTACAAAATGAGTCATCGTTTTTCAAGTCAGCTTTAGTCTTTTCAATCTTATTTTTGTAGGCATCCACAGGTGTCATGGTGATTGCGTTAGGAGATTGTGTTGATGACGTTAAATTTCCAATCATTTTGTTTCCAACAATATACACTGGAGAAGAATCAAAAACTTGATTGAAATTTAGATTAGAATTTGATGAGTTGAATGAAGTAAAAGGTTCTGGCATTTTATTAATGCTATGTTCACTCTCATCTTTATCCAATTGATCTTGATTTTTTTGTATTAGAAGTGAAGTTCTTTCTGTCTCTGTCATAATATTAGGAAGTTTCTAAACAGCAATCGATACCATAAAAAAAAAATATTAAAGATATTATCATTCATTCAAATAAATATTTTTTTAATGACTAATAGTGTAAAATAGCCTTACCTTTTTTAATTCATGATATGTTTTATATAGCACCAGATCATTTGCATTTTCGATTAATTCCTTGAAGTCTTTATGTTTTGGTAGTTTTTCAAGTATTATCCTAATTAATTAATTTAATTTATTAAAATTAAAAAAAAAGAAAACTTCCTGGATAAAAAATTATTATCCATGTATTTTTTATATATATCCTACATTCAAGAAATGGTTCTTTAAGAACTTACGAGCCAATTTTTATCCCATTTTTATATATAACTTCATGGTTGTTTAAGCTCGATGCTATATCAAACTATTGTAAATTCTTCATGTTAGAAAATAATCAAATGACTAGAATTCTACCATTAAACTTGAAGAAAAAGGACATGCCTCTTCAATCAACTTTTCCGTTGCTTTTACCCAAACTTTTAATTTGTACTCATTCGGCTCATTTAGTACTTTTGCTTGTTCTTTTAATTCTGAAAGTTTAATGTGTGTGGTGGACATTGTTGATTATAAAATTTATACATGAAGCATTTCTTGCACAATTAATTTAATTGTTTGGCTATTTATTTATTTCAAAATTTTCAGGGGTCCGTTTGACCGGCCGGGATTTCTAAATACTGTAATGATCGATGATCTAGAAGCCTTTAAATTCCGTTATTGTGTAATTCTGAAAACATTCCAGAAAAAAAAAAACAAAAATGATTGGTTGGCTAAAATTTTATACTAACAGATCTTTTCATAAGAAAACGAACGGTCAAATAATTTTTATTACATATATAATGTTACCATAGTTTATTAAACTGCATTCACTTTACCTAAAGATAATAAAATAATACAATATGGATTGATTGATTAATATAAAATTGTTTTCTATTTAAATAAATATGTATACCAATACAGTGTGTTTCAAAAAAAAAGGATGCGCATATTTCAACAATTATTATTATTATTATGCAACAAAATCGAATAAATAAAAAAAATCTAATACAATAATATTTTGGCTGTTTCCTGAGGAATTCCTCAACCATAAATCTCTTTCCTTTTTTCAACATATTTTCAACGGGATTAAGGTCAGGACTCTTGAATGCCCAGTCCATTACACAAATTCTTTTTTCATAAATGAAAGTTTCTGCAACGCGTGGTGTGTGCTTTGGGTAATTATCATGTGAGCAAGATATCCAATCATTCTTTGTCATGCGAAAATTTTTCCACTTTTAAAATGAATTCACATTTTGGCGCCCTTTTTTTTTTTTTGAAACATACTGTACATAAGGACATCAGGTTTCATGCAGTGGAACAAACAGCCAGTTCTAACATTATTAAAACTATAATAAGGTTGAATAAAGTCAGTAGCCACCATTATGGTTCCTAAAGCAGAACAAATATAACGAATTTATGAAAATAAAATTTATTTGCTTCTTATGTTTAAATTTCCATAAACAATCCTATTTCATAACCGAATAAATTAAACTAAAAAGTATTATTAAAAATTTGGGTGAATGGAATGGTTATATCAGCGAATAATTCAAATGAACGAATAATTCATAAAACGAATGAATAATAACTCTATATATATCACTTAATAAAGATAATTCAGTAACTACTTTGCGAATAGTTTTACATGATACTTTCCTAATATGTTTTTAGAGTCACATTGCTTCAACTTGCTATTTAAATATTCAAATTTTTCTCGGTGAGTAGATATAAATACTAGAAGATGGCCAAAAAATTCAAATTTGAATTCCTGGTACATAAATTTCCTTCTTATATATCTTAATATATATCCGGAAGAATTTATTTCAATAGAAGTATCGCGTTAATTCGAATTGACAAAAAGTTTCTGGAATCAATTTCCAAGTTTTAATTGACTGCAATAATAAATGACTTAAATTTTGTTAAATCTCTCTAACCGGACAGGAGATACTCTCATTGGATATTTTCAATATCGACAGGTGTTGATGGTTTGTGAATCCGTATTATTTATCACAACTTTGCTCATAGATTTGACAATTTAACCAATAGCTTAGGAGTTTCACCCGTGGCTTAGGAGTTTCGCCCATAGTTTAGGATTTCACGCACAGTTTAGACAAATTTTAAGTTTCGTCACTAGTTTAGGTGCCTAAATTCCTAATGACCGTGGGAGAAACTATTTCGGATTTGCTAAAATGATTTCGGTCACCATCATTAGTAGTGTGTATAAAAACGAGTAAGTTTATTTTTGACATCTATTCAAGGCTTGCGTGCTATATGTGATATGTCAAAGGAACCTATCAGGTAAAATAATTAGCAGAGCTAGTGTGAAAAATTCGGGAAAGCCAACGATTTTCGATCTTTGAAATTATGTGCACCCATGACACATCATTATAAAAGCATGATGATTTGTTTATATATTTCATAACTCATTTGCAAAACGTAATAAAAATTCGTTAAATAAAACAAACTACTTCGTATAATTAAATAATTTCTTCAATAATAATCAAAGGTATGTTGGAACATTTATATCCTGAGTAAAATGTTCAGTGGTATTGTCATCAATTATATAATGAACTGTCACTTATGACGTCAAACAAGTTTTTCGAAGCTCTCAAGCAAATGCCATTAGATCCTTTAATCCTTGAAGAAAAGTTTCCATATATCTATTTATTATCATCAAATACTTCGTTTTCTACATCTTTAAACAACAATCGATGCAGAACTCAATTTATTGAACGAGAAACAAAAACATGAATCTAAAGATTTTTATATAAAAATCGATAAACTTGCCGAAAAGATTTCTTTATTCTATTAAGAAATTCAACAAAGATTACACGAAAAAGATACTTTAACCAATAATTCAAGTAATTCTCGAGGCAAGCTCGCTCCAACAAACATATATCCCGCCTAATCATCTTTGGCAAGAAACTCATAGTAAACCAAATATTTTTTTATCCTCAGCTTCAAAAACGCACAACATTTTCGTGCGAAAATTTAAAACCTTTTCGACGAAACTATGCAGGAAAAGATTATTCTATATAAGGCTGGCATGATAAATGAAGTTTTGAACGATCTTATAAATGAGAAAAACATAAGGACCATCTCGAACAAAGCACTAGAAAATTTTACAATCAAACAACACCAGACCGTAGGTGCAATTAAAGCCTGGATTGAACTCAAAGTTAAAGAAAAAAATAAAATCAAAAATAGCAATACTTATAATAATGATATAATTAATTCTAACAATGGTAGATAGATATAATAATTAATGAAAACATATAAATTATTTGGTTTTTGTTAAAATTATAGTTGTTCGCGGAAATAGTTTTGCAATATAATTTTGGGCTAACTATCGCGAGAGAGAGAGAGAATATACTGACAAATATTTTTTTCACAACTTCTTACTTCAAACATGGTTAACCAAAACATTGCAAAGTTTTAGTTAGCCGTATATTAGGTTTTTTTGGACCGATCAGATTCTTTTTGAATCCGAAGAAATCTTGCATCCTATTAATTAAGCATAGGTGTGGGGTAAAGATTTTTCAGTCAAGTCCAACACCTAAATTTAATACGTTAGACTTAATTAAAATATCTAAATGGAATTTTTCGGTTTTTAAAAAAGTTCTTTATTTATTATTGAACCTTTATATAAAAAGAAATGTGTGTTAAATAGAAATAATATTTTAACTATCATGGGACTTGTAATTGAATCTTTGCAAAAGTGCCCCATTGATTATAATCTTGATATTGAGACGATATAATAGGGAATTAATATTTTGAAAGAGGACTTGATTGGCGGATTAATACTTTCAAGCCTACTCATAAAGTGTCACTCGTGGCAAAGAAAGGTCAACTTTGTTGTGAAAGGTTCATAATATTAGTTATTTTATTTACTTGGTTAAAAAATTTGTTACTGCTTGAATGGTGTATAGGACATATAAGAAAATAATTAATAAAATCTATCATAGAAAATGCCCTGAATAATCCTCATTTATTGAGAGAGCAAGCATCTATGATAAATGGGATTTTATGTTCTATAATATTTGGGACATGCCCCATTTATTGTTCTGGAAATCAAAATAAATTAAATCAACCTAATCTTCTTTTTTTCCTTCCATCTCCTTTAAATATCTTAGTAACCATTTTTTGTGTATAACACCAACATATTGACCATTTTCAGTCACACAAACATATCTTAATCCCAATTTTTTAAATAATTCTAATATAACTTCTAATGATGAATTTTTTGATACAGTTAATGGAGCCTATAAATATATAATTTTTTTAAATGATTAATTAATGAAATAAAAAATTTAAATTTTTAAAAGTTTTTTTTTTTTTAAAAAAAAAATAAAAGTTATTTACTTGATCCATATAAACAGTAAAATCCACAGATTTATCAGGATTTTGAATAACACTAAATTCAGGTTCTTTGAAATAACATCTTGTTGTAGCATCATATTTTGGTGGCAAATCATTTAATGCATGTTCCAATTCTGTTGATGCTATATATCCTACCAACATATTATTATCTATTATTGGAAATCCTGTGTCTGAATAACCTGAAATTGCTATTGTAAAATATAATTAATTAGCTAATAATAATAATATTACAGGATATTTAATAAAATACATACATAAATTTTTTAATTTTGCTTTTAATTCACCCACAGTATTCAAATCATTAACATCAATAACTTCTAAATCTTTTTGTGTCAAATCAAATGTATTTGTTGCTTGAATATATTCAGCATTTGCATCCAAAAAAGGATGTTCATTCAAGTCAATCAACAAATTATAAATTCCATGATGAACAAATCCATCTGCTACCCATTTAGATATCATTATTGAAGTCATTATTGGCTAATTATGGAAATTTTTATTATTAATAAATTAGTGAATTAATAAATCCAAATATTATATACCATTGTCAATACTTACTAACACATATGTTAATGCACCTGTTAATTCAAACATAATTACTGTTAAAGAAACTGTCATTCTAGTCACACCAGCTAAAGCAGCAGCAGCTCCTACCATCGCATATACACCAGGTATCACACAATCATTTGGTGCTCTTGGATCACATTGTTCAAACACTGGAGAATCCGGGTACTGACTAAATTAAATTAATGAAGATTATATAAATAATAATTCTTTTTTTTTTTAAAGAAAAAAAATCATTATTATTAATTATTATTTAATTTACAAGGTAAGCCATTGTACAACCAATCCCAACATTCTACCAAAACATGCACCAATTAATAATGCAGGTATAAATATACCAGCTGGGGTTCTTATACCAAAAGTTATTATACATGTTAAAAATTTGGAGATTAAGGCCACTGCAAGTAAATAAAATATTGGATATACATCTTTGGCCGAATATCTATTAAATTTAATATTAATAAAAGTATTATTATTATTATGAACATATACATATATATGTATATTAAACTTACACACAAAGACCTAATGAATCTTTTTTATCTGAACATTCACTAAATAAATTTGCCACTAAATCAGTATTTGATATCCTATTTTTAAAAGTAAAGTTATGTGTCAGAAATAAAATACTGAAATAATTTAAAAAAAAATAAATAAAAATACACAGTTTACTTTGTAAAAGGATTTAAATAATTAAGAGATGAAGTGAGAATAACAACCATTGCTACTTCTATTATTG